GGCCACCTTGGCTCCTGCCAGGAGGGGTCATGAGACATATCCAGCAGCTACGGGGAGAGGCCAGGGCAGCCTCCCCTGGGCCGGTGGGCTCTGCCTAGGGTCTAGTGTGGGGGAGATTAGCCTAGCCTGGGGCTCATGGGATAGCAAAGTCATCAGTTTGAAACCAGCAGCAGCTGCTCCGAGGTGGAAAGATGGTAGAAATATTGTCAAGAGCAACAGTCTCGGAAACCCACGGGGCCAGTTCTCCTTTCCCTGTAGGGTTGCTGTGGGTCACATCAACTCCGTGGCAGTGAGGGTTTTTTGGGGTGGGGTGGGGGTGGAGATCACATGACCAGGCTGTCTGTCCAGAGATACAGGGTGGCTGTGATCTCTGGCTCTTCCCAGCTTCCTGTTGGAGCTGGCCGTGGGGTGGCAGGGTGAGGCTTAGGGGAGTGAGGGAGGGCAGGTGGGCCACCTGGTTGGCCAGAGCTGAGACGAGAGCCAGTCCTTGAAGACCCAGGGCAGTGGGCAGTCTGGCGTGGAGTCAGAGGCCCTGGGTCTTATGGCCGGACTCACCGTGTAGGTGGCTGATATGATGGTGAATGATTTTTCTCCTTCATTCGTCCCTGCCCCACTTCACTCCCTCAGTCAACAGGTACTGACAGAAGGCGGCCACGTGCCAGCTGTGGGTGGGAGGCTGGGGATCCCCTGGGGAACAAGGGAGACAGGCTCCGCTCTCCTGAGGCTCCGGCTGGCAGGGAGGCATGGTTCCAAGAGTCTCCCCAAGCTGCACTTGAGGCAGCCCCAAGGAGGCGGCTGCCCCAGCTCACAGCAGAACTGACCCGGCTCGAGCCTGGAAGGGGGACGTCTGTGGCAGGCAGCAGCTCTTTGGAGAATCTGAGGGAGAGAGACGATGATGCTCCTTGGGCCAGAACTTACTGCCCGTGATGCCTTCTCCTCTGTTTCATGGGTAACCAAGCTCTCTGCCATTTTGATTGAGAGGCCACGAGTTCGCGTGCACACGTGTCCTGTAGAGGTATTGGTTGGCTGGATGACCAGGGGAGCCTCTGTGGAGGTCCAGAGAGGGGCTTGAAGCCCCAGGCCCCCCCAGGCCGGGGCCAGCTAAGCCGTGCTGTTGGTTGCAGGGGCCTTCAAGCTCTACGACCTGGATAACGATGGCTACATCACTCGGAACGAGATGCTGGACATTGTGGACGCTATCTACCAGATGGTGGTGAGCTGGGAGTGGCCCTTCCCCTGCCTGGCATCACTCTGTGCAGTTCTGCCTTGGGAGGCCAGAGGAGGGTGGGGGGCTGGGGTCCTTGGGATGATCCAGACTTGGAGCATCGTGGACCGCAGAAGGGGGAAGGGGTCCTTATCTGGAACCAGTCCAAGACAGGGGAGGTGGGGGTGCAAACGTTTGGCCAAGAGCCCACGGGGGTCTTGTCTGTCTGCCTGGCAGGGGAACACAGTGGAGCTCCCGGAAGAGGAGAACACCCCGGAGAAGAGGGTGGACCGGATCTTTGCCATGATGGACAAGGTGAGGCTGGGGGACCCGCGCCTTGTCCAGGGAGGTGAGGTTTCGAGGGGCAGGCCTGGGCCATCCGGTGGGCAGGGAGTGAGCCCCAGGCACGTGGACCTGACGTGGCCACTGACCAGCCCTGAGACTAACTCAAGGCAGGGGACTCAGCCTGGTGTGGTCTGCTTGCCGGAATCTACCCCATCACGTGCCCCACGGGCAGGTTCTCATCAGTGTGCCTGGGGCTTTCCCCTTACTCACGGACCCCCTCCCCTATCCCCCCTCTGGTGTGCATGTGCCCACCGATCCCGTGGGCAATCTGGTGAGATCTGTGGGCTCCTCAGACTCATGTTTTAAGTGCAAAAAACAGAACCGGAAGGGTCACAAGAGAACACATTATTTGAGAATACAGCAATCATAATACTTTTGAGAAGGAATTTGTGATACAGTATCCTGCAGACCTTTTCTGAGCGCATTAAATAGTGAGATGCAGCGTGTGTGTATGTATGTGTGTGTGTATGGGGCAGTGTCTGATAACACCTGTGCTTTGGGAACACGAGGAGTCTTCAACAAGCTTGTGGAAGAGTCATGATCTCTGCATCTTTCCACGAGCGCTCGCATGCCTTCCCACAGTGCCAGCTGGGCACAGCACCTGTGATGCCCCAAGCGGCCAAGTCTCAGGTACTGCTGGCTCCGTCGGGGAGCGTCATCTCCAGGAAGAGCTACATTTCAGCTAGAGGTTAATGAAAATGAAGTTCAAAGTCCCCCCCTGTTCAAATTCACAGACCTGCTGAGTTCTTCCTACAGACCCGGGGTTAAGAAACTCTTCTTTAAATCCAGCTCGCTGGTGTTTTCAGATGAGAGAGTCACTTGTTTTAAATGGAGACTCGGTACGAAGATGGCAAGGACACATAGTACCACGAGCGTGAACAGAAAGTTGCTGTGAAGTCGGGCTGTTGAGTTGAATTTTGGATGGATAAGCTGCTTGTCCGACCGCTTAGAGCCGGGGGGCCTGCACGGACTCGGTTCAGTTGGAGGGGTTATTAGTGCGTGTTGCCCCCAGCCCACTGCCTTCACTTGAGACCCTTTAGCCCGAGTTACAGGAGTGTTAGCTATTTGCACATGCAGCCATTTGGCTTCTTGACTGATGGACTCTACCTTTGTCCAGCTGTGACCCCATGTTCCTGCTGCAGCCCCATGCACGCCTTAAACCCCGGGGCCCTGCCTGCATCTCCCACATGCTGGGAAACGGTCCAGAGCTGGAGCCGCCTGGCCCAGGGGTCCATTCTAGCCTCCGCACGGACGGAAGGTTGCCTGTGATCAGCCCTGTTGCTGTGTGTGCGCGTGCATGTGTGTGTGCGTCCCGGGCGATGGGCAGTGGAGCAGCAGGCGTGCCAGGCTCGCTCTTTCGGCCAGCATGCTGTCCCTTCTCAGAGCCTCAGAACCTCTAAGGCGGTTTTCATAATTCTCCGAGGTCTCTCTGAGGGAGGCTCCAGAGGATGGGGGACTGGCCCCGGGCGCCTCCCCCTGGGACTCATCAAACTCCCTGTGTCTTCCCCCAAGCTCCGTGCTTCCTCTCCCACCCAGGCACCCCAGGGTCCAGTGGGCTGCTCTAGGACGACTGCAAGTGCCCCCCAGGGTGATCTCAGAGAAACGTGCAGCAACCATAGCCCCTCCAGGTTAAGTGCCATCCACAGGCTCTGTCCGTGGTGATCCATGCCCACGGCCGTGGAGTCATGGGCGCTTCCATTAGCCGGGCACTTCATGTGGAACCACAAAGCCTGGAGGAAGCCCCCCAGAGGAGGAAACAGGTGCCCCCAGCCAGACCTGTCTGAAGTCCAGCTCCTGTCATCCACGAGCTGGACACCCTCTGGGATCCAGGCCTGGGTTGGGCTTGGGGAAGAGATGTGTGGGTTCGCAGGCCAGAGAGACCCCTGTCCTGGGAGCCTGCTTGTCCTCTCCATCCTCAGCCTGCCCCTCTCTGCTTCCAGAATGCCGACGGGAAGCTGACCCTGCAGGAGTTCCAGGAAGGGTCCAAGGCAGACCCCTCCATCGTGCAGGCGCTGTCTCTCTACGACGGGCTGGTATAGTCCGCGGCCCAGGCTGGGGTGAGTGCGGGGCGCTCGCATCCTGGGGGTGGGGGTGGGTCGTGGTGGTATAAAGGCAGACCCTTATGCTTTTATGCTTGATCTTGGATTCGGGAAACGTTTTAAATTGTCAGGGAGTTGCTGAGTAATTTTTTTCTGGAAAGCTGTAGAAGGCCAACTAAGTTTGGGAACCTGTGCTGCAGGGACTGCACCCTAGTGAGCTCTGTTGCTCAGTCTTTGGGGGCAGCACACACGCAGGCAAGCACCAGGCAGAATGAAAGGAAGGC